TCATTTCCTTGCTCCTTTCCTGAGTTCTAGCAGTGGCTGGGGGCCCAGCTTCCTTACTGGCTTCTGAGCTATGCAAGGGGGCGGGCTGGGGCTTAGAGGAGGTTGGAGTAGAAAACAGGAGGGCTGTTTATGCTGCTGTAACTGCCTTTCATCCTTCTCTCTACCACTAAGCTTTCTGAAACTTCATTCCTCTCCAGCTCTTGAGTTTCCTTCTTTAAGGTTGTGGGCACATCTAAGCCAAACCGGGCTGATGGCCATAGGGTCCTACTTACTTCTGTTCTTAAGTGGGATCTAACTTTGCTTGAGCAAAGCATCATGGATCTTGGACTTGAGCAAATGGTCTCCATGTTTCAAGAGATCATATGGATCTTAGCTAAGGAAGAATCCATCCTGAAGGAAAAAGATATAGGGGATATCTGAAGGTGTTGTTGATGAGCATCTTAACAGTTTGGACACCCAGATCTTTCCCAAGCCATTTCTTCACCAGGGCATTTCCCATGGTAAGTACATCTGGTAGTGATGGCCACCATGGTCCCTCTTCCCTATTCTGCATTCTTTCTTGAGTATAACTTTCTTGGTGTGTCCATAGAAATGAATATTGATAGGGATGATGAATGATAGGGTGTAAGTTTAATAATAGTGCGTGAGCTAACCTTAGGAGAAAAGGAGATATGAAGTCATTTTCTCCACAGTTAGACCTATTATTGCACGATTGGTGATTGACATGCTCTTACCTTTCTACTTCTCTTCATATACCCATTCTGCTTCTTAACCCATTCCCCACTGCCTACAGAGGGGATGTTTTAAACTTTGGGACTACAGAGACTTCTCATTTCTGACTCCTTCTTTACGTGAGGCTAAACAACTCAGATGCACAAGCATTTTGAAACAGATCCCTTTTTGGGAGGAGGAATTATGTGCTCTCCAAGAAAAGGTCATAGGAGTGTTTTCCTAAAAAGACAATATCAGCCCTTGGTAGGGTGCTGAATTGATCCAGGGAGGTTGAAAATACCTTGGGTGAAGTTGGGGGAAACTGTTTCCTTTAAAAATGTAGATTTATAGGTGAGCACTGAATATTTTTTTTCTGAAAAGGAGATGGTAAGCCAAGTAATTTTTTCATCTTTTAAATCTCATTTCAAACTGCTGGTTATTAACTGAGTGGTGCTGGCTACACATTGCACCTTTTAGTGTCTCCTTCTTACCATCTGTAAAATGGATGTAATAAGAGATCTTACTACATAAGATTGGAGTGAGGATGAAACTAGTTAATGTATGCAAATCACTTGGTGCATGGCACATCTTACATGTCCTTAAATGGTCATTGGTTGGTAGTTTTTATGTTTATAGTATGTTAGGAACACTGCTGAGTGATTCATACATGCATCTACATTGACTCCAGGCATAACACATGAGAAAAGGGTGATTATTCTCCTCATGTCACTGATAACTTGCCACTCATAGAAGTGATTTTTCTGTGCCCAAGTTTATAGAGGTAGGATTTGAATGTAATTCAGACTGACTCTAATCTAGAGCTAGCACTGTAGCACTGTTCTCCCGTTGTTCATCGAATTGCTCAAGGGGGCCCAGTAACGTCTCCATCATGAGACTTGTTGTTACTGTGTTTGGCATATCCAATACATCATGGGTAGCTTGCCAGGCTTTGCCGTGTGGACGAGATACACACAGTAGCTTACCGGGATCTCCGAGAGTACTGGAGGAACCAAACCTGGCTCGAACGCGCTGGCTGTGTGCAAGGCAAATACCCTACCGCTGTGCTAGAGCTACTTGGGATTAATAGTAGTCCAATTAGACCCTCTGGTTTCTTCTGTCCCAAATGAGGACTGGAAAGCATGGGCTATGAAATTTATTCCTCCTGCTGGAATTTTCTTCCTCCCAATATATGCTTTTCTCCCAGTGGACCCAGTAACAGTTCTACTCAAAGTCTCATTTCTGTCTCCTTTGAGAGTCTTTTTAGCCTTGTGGTCACCCAAGAATGAATAAAAATCTTTATAAGTAAACTAAATTTTAAAGTTAGCAAGTTTGTTGTATAGCAGGGCCTTGACAATAGATGGAAAAATCTCTATATGAATACTCTTGAACCAGTAAAAGAAACATGTATGAACTAATAACACTTACCAAACTACCTACTATTTACCACTTTATTTGTATCAGACAGTGTCTCAAATGCTTTCAGGTATTATCTGTAATCCACACAGTTGCCTAGCCCTGTAAGTGGTATTGTTTCTCTTTTCAGGTAAAAAAAAAAACAGAAGTGCAAATGGATAAAGTGAGTTGCATAGAATCACACCTTCAAAGGGGTAGAATTAGGATTAGAATTAGAATTAAAATTAGAATCACTCATTTTTGTTTCATTGCCTACTAGTTGATCAGATTACCCTAGCATACAGGTAATGATGATGTACAATTAAAACATTATTATAGGATGCATTGTAAGAACTAGGTACTAAGGTCAAAATCCTTGGAGAAGATGATTCTTGAGAATAATTTTAAAAAACAAGTATGCTTAAGATTACAATATGGGAGGGGCATTACAGGCAGAGGGACCAGTGAGTGAGTGTTAACTAAAATTGTCAGAGGACTGCCAGAGCCTATTTTAAGGACTTAATATGCATTGTCTCATTTGTTCTCTACAACCCCGTTAATTAGGTACTATTGTCCATATTTTTGATATTTTGATGCCATGGCAACTAGAGGTCTAATAAGTGAGGGAACCTACCTAAAGAAACAAAGATAGTAAATGGTAGATTCTAGTCAAGATGGCTCAACTCCAGGGTCTATGCTAGATTCTACTGAAAAATCACTATCAAAGGCACAAAAGTGGTTGCAGGGTGAGAATGGAACAGAAATATGAGACATTGGACTTAATAGATAAAAGTAGCATGTAGAGAACTTTAAAAAACTGATTAAGTTTACTTTTTATATAGAATTGGGTAAGAAACGTGAGTAAGTGTAGATTCTCCAAATTGTAGACAAAGATGGTACATGGTTTACAGTAATACTTATTATTACTGTGAGGTAGGTGCTTGTAATTATTTTTATGGGTGCCCAATGGCCAAGTGACTAACGATATTTTTAGTGTCATGGCTTTATACATGAGATTTTAGGAATAGGCAAACTCTCTAGGTCTTCTGGTGTCTTCATCCATCCTGATATGCACTTTGAAGTACATAATAGAACAACATGATTAAAAGTTAGGGCCTCGCCTGGGTATCTTGTATATAAATTTTAACTACTGCTACTAACTTTAACTACATTTCTAGGTCTTGATATATGACAGCCTGCTTCATCCTTACAACTTCTCGTATGTCTGTCCTACTACTACTCAGTATTCCCCAGTTAAGTCATTCCCAGAAAGGCTTTTTTTTAAAAAAAAAAGGTTCAAACCTCTCAAGCTTTGCATTTCTGGGATATTCTGTATGCATCTGCTGGGCTGAGGAGCTTTCCCAGTTAGGATGGCATTCAGTTTGACTTTGTCCACTACAATTGATAGGAGTTGATATCTGATTCATTTCACTATATAAAATGAAAATTGGAAACAGGGGACTTTAGTCAACTCAGCAATCTTATTGCCCAGTCTGTCACAGTAAATGAGTGAATAATGAGTAAATAAATATTTACTTATTAATAGCTATCTATTAATGTTTCTGTAATCTACTTATTCACCATATATTTTCCTTACTCTGTTATTCATCTCTATTGTCCATTGTCTCTGTAATACATTATGTAATTCCTTCTCATCTTTGTCATTGCTTTCTCCCTTTCTTCTGCTTGTTTCTCTGAATCATATTTTTCCTATTACCTATATCATACATGGCCCTTCCAACATTTATTTTCCTCTTTGTGTTCCCTTTCTCTTTCTCTCCTTTCTTTTCCTCCTTCTTTACTAATTCTCTCCCCACCCTCCACTGACTTCTTTCTCACATAAATCTCTGCATCTGGAGCTAACCATGCCCCATACTTTCTCTGCTCACTGATGTGGCATATAACCATGTAAAATATGCCAGAATATATGAATGGGTTCTCTTTGATGCAGGCACTACAAGAGTTGTGACTATAGATTCCAGTTCTAGACAGACATTCATGATTGCAACCAGGGCTTTGGTTTCAGACCTTTTTCCCTATGCATTACCCTGCCCTGATGAGCTGCTACTTTCCATATCAGTCTAGTAAGTTAACATTCACCAGGTCTCATTTACTCTGGTAGGAGCTGAGGGCCTCAACTTTGCCTAGAAACTCAGGTATCTCTCTGCTCATCTTATCTTCTGTTTTCCCAGTGTCTTTATCATGCATTATTTAAATGAACTCTATTTCTTTCATTAATCTGTAAGCGCTCAAGGCAAAATATTGTATTATACACATATCACTATTCTACTCACTCCTGTATTCCCAGAGTCACACACAGATGGTTCTCAGTAAACATTCAACAAATGCTAAGCAAATCATTGAGCAAAAATTGGAGAATTTACAGGCAAGTGTTGACTTGTTTGATCTTCTTAATTGCTTGTATATTCCTTTCTTAGAGGGAAAATTAGAAGGTTGGCAGAGTAATTTTTTTCTAAAAAAAATAGGGTGGGGTTAATTGTTCACCTGCAAGCAGCACTTATTTATTTCACAAATATTTTTAAGGGGAGCCTCCTAAGCCGTATTCAAGAGTCCCAGGGGATTGTCCTAGTGATTTTTAGCCAGCCGGAATTGCACAAATATTTATTGAGCATTTACTGTGGGTCTGGCACTGATGTACATGCTTGGAATATGCCTATGATCAAGTAGGCCCTTTGAAGCTAGCATTCCATATATCTAGGCATTACCCTCAGGGTGGATACTTATGATTGAGAATTGGGAGTTTCACTGAGATTCCCATACCAGTTCCTTATAAGATGTTATACTTGAGGGAAAGGGGGCTGGGAGTGGAAGCTTCCTTAGGAAGTGATTTCAGCTGTGGTTCCCTATGCTGACTTCCTGTCCCTTTCTTGCTGTAGGAGAAACGCCCCTGTCAATAGACCACACTCATGGCATGTGGCCAAGCTGCTGGAGCGATGCCCTGATGTGGCCACCACCATGCATTTTCCTTCTGAAGCCTTCAGCTTGTCCTGGCATTCAGGCTGCAACACAAGGTAAATCTATATTACATTTATGATGGACTGGAGAGTAGACAATTTACACACTCTTCCACTCTAGCCCCTGTTAAGTGTCATGAGAAGAATGTTGTGTAAGAAAATGGAGTGAGTGGAATTCAAAAATACCTAAGTGCTGGGCTAAGTCAGTGGGTAGCACACTGACTTTGGGCTAGCCCCCTTTATTCTGGAAAATATTTCCTTAATATATTTAACTCAGTTGGCTTGCAAGACATTAAATTCTCCTGTTTTCCATCCTGTTTCACTGGGTTCCCTTTAGAATATTCCAAATTTAATTTTTATAGTTTAGGTGGTATGGTTACTATAGTGTTAACATTTTTGATGTACAACATTGTGATGAATCACCAACACTAAATTTTCCAAGACTCTCTTGTTAGTATCAGTAAGCCTCATCATCTACATACCCTTACCCTGCTTGAGCTTGGTATTCCTTCACAATTTCTTATCCTGGCACTTATCCCTCTGATTGCTTAATGGAAGAGGACCACAAGGCTCAGTTCTGATTCTCTTGTCTATCTACAGAGACTCACTAGTATTCTCATACAGTATACATGAACCCTGTCACTGACCTAGAACCACCTGGCAAAAACTTAGCACTTTGTAGTTGCTGTTATTCACTGCTCTTTTCACTGGAATAGTTAACAACATCCTCTCTACCACAAGTATCATTAGTCCCATCCTAACCATGCTTCAAAACAAAGCCAAGAAGGAGACCAGAGGAAGGACTCAGAGCAGATATTGTCTTATATAAGTACTTATATAAGTACTGTTTCTCATACATGAAGACAAAAAGAGTCAAGCCATGCCAGTAAGTCCATAATACTAGAATCCCAGAGGTTAAAACAGGTCTTCAGAAAGGGAACCTCTCGAAATGACAACATCTGCCTCTAGTAAGACTACTCAGTTCAGGAGCTTCATATTGTCTTTCTCTTTTTTAAATAGCTATCCAAAAGAGACATTTCAGTTCGTTTTAGAGCCAGCAAAGCTTCTGGCCTAAACTGTTTTTTCCTTTCCATATGACCTGTTAACAAGGCGTAATTTCTGTTAAAGATTCTCAGAGAAGCTAATGGATCAGTTTGCCTCTCTGCTCAGTAACTTTATTTGGCACTGTAAGTCAGGGACTTGGGGCAGAGGCAGTTTTGTTCTAGAAGAATACAAAGAAATATATTTGAGTTTGGCTCTGTTTGAGCAGAGGCGTGGTTGTTCTCAGCAGGAAGGGTGTGTAACAGATCCTCTTGCCAGTAAAGATTTGATGTATTCTTAGCCCAGAGGTCAAGGAAGCAAAAGAAAGGAAGAGAACAAAAATTAGGGGAGACTGACCTCAGGGACCCATAGGCTCCTGTTACTACTTGTGTTTGGCTTTCTGAACTGTGAAAAGCATTCTAAGAACAGTCTAACAACCTCCAGGGTTCTAGTCATAAGGAATTACTGGCATGAATTGGCTCAGTCTGTTTTGCTCTGTGGGAAATGGTTCTGAAAAATTAGAATTGTATCTAATCTTAATTCTTTATTTGGTTTCCCTGGTTTGCCTTTATTGTAGGGCACAAGAGTGACATGGACAGGCAGGGACTATTAGAGTCCCTGCATGGTAGGGAGGAAATTAAAAGTTGTCAGTGAAAATAGCAATTGAGAGCAGCAACAACCAGAAATTGAACCTTTACTATGTGTATGAACTATGACGAAAGCTTTATATTTGTGATCTAATTTCACCTCCTATTTTTCACCTCTGATGTTGACATTGCTATTATTATTATTTAATAGATGGTGTATAAGAAGAGCTAAAGATATTGGACTCACAAAGACTTGAGTTTAGCAGCTCTGTCAGCCTGTCAGCTGACTTTTTCCTTTCAAAGCTGCAGTTTTCAAGGCCAGACCAATAGCACAGTGGGTAGGGCATTTGCCTTGCTTGCAGCAGATCTGGGCGTGATCCCTGGCACCTCGTATGGTCCCCCAAGCCCATCAGGAGTGATGCGTGAACACATAGGAAGGAGCCCAAAGAAAACCCAAAGCTGCAGTTTTCACCATTTTAATGTAGAGATAATAATCTTTCCCTTTCAGTTTAAAATAAGACACTGTAAAATTTCTGGCACACTAGGTTCTCCATAAATGGTAAGATTATTACTATCAAGAAAAAAGAAGAGGCCATCTAAATTCTAGCTGTATATGTACCACAAGCTAGAGCTGAGTTATTTAAGAATATATTCACTTCAAAATTGTTTTACTTTGCCAAGCTTGCTTTGTACCAGTGGCTATGTGTAAAACCCTGGACCAACAGCACCCCACCACCTGGGAACCTGTTACAAGTTCAGAAATTTCAGAAATAGCCCAAGTCTAAATTTCTAGGGATAAGGTCTGGTAACCTGTGCTGTTACAATCCCACAATCTGATTCTGATGAAGTCATATTAGAAAACCACTAATTCATAAAATGGTCTGGCTGAAACTGAATCAGCCCTTTATAATCCCTCCTTAATGCTTAAATAGTCTGTGATTGCCTTTTTTGGCAGAGAGCTATGTCCTGACTCCCTGGGAACAGAAGATAGGCAAGAAGCAATTCTAGACTCACTGACAGCAGGGAAACAAAGCATAAACCCATTGGAGCCCCACACATTTATCTTTAGGATCTTAACCAATTCTTCCTCTTGTGTTCTTATCTCCCATTTTTCTAAGTCACTGTGGGAACTCAGTGCCTATCTCTTTCACTGTTTTCTTCCCTCCCTTCAATCCTCTATTCCTTCTTTCCTTCCTTCTTGCCTTCCCTCCTGCTCTCATGCCTTCCTACTTACCTTCCAGAATTCTTACCTAATCTCCTGCCTTTTCTTTTCTCATCTACAGCAAGGATGTCACTGGGCTATCCTTTCTTCTCCCATGGTAGGGCTGGCCAAAGTGGGAAGGGGATCTAGTAACTTGGCTCACTAACCAGTATGCCCTGTATCTTGTAGTGACGTGTGTGTGCAGTGGTGTCCACTCTCTCGGCACTGCAGCACTGAGAAAAGCAGCTCCATTGGCAGCATGGAGAGCCTGGAGCAACCAGGCCAAGCCACCTATGAGGGCCACCTCTTGCCCATTGACCAGAACGTGTACCCCAACCAGCGTGACTCAGCCTACAGCTCCTTCTCTGCCAGCTCAAATGCCTCTGACTATGCCCTTTCCCTCAGGCCAGAGGAGCCAGCCTCTACAGACAGCATCATGCAAGGCTCAGGGCCAATTAAGGCCCCCAGTGGCAGGCCTAATGTGACTGAGACTTCAGGAGGTAGCCGGCGCACCAGTGGGGGCCACTTTGCTCCCAACTCCCTGATGTCATCTTGCCCACAGGAAGATCATCACTTGGGTCTTTCCAAGACAACCAAGGGCCCACCACAACCTCCAGTGAGGCGAGACAGTCTTCAAGCTTCCAGAGCCCAGCTCCTTAATGGAGAACAGTGCAGGGTTACTGAGCCTGTAGACTCTTTGCAGCAAAAGGAGAAAGCAACTCTAGAAGCTGTGCTCTCCCCAAGGAATCCTAACAGCTTTTGCTGTCTCAGTCGGCCAGATCAAGTGACAATTGAAGGCCATCTGAACTGTGAACTCAGCCAACCTCCTGAATCCATCCAGAAGGTTTGTGAGCATCTAACAATGGAAGCCTCCACTGCAGATGTTGGATGCCCCAATGTATATGACCAAACTTCCAGCCTGGACTCCAGTCCACTCAACAGGATTTCAGCTGAACTAAGAAAGGCTTCTTTCAGCAGCCTTCCACATCTCACAGGAGCAACAGGGCATCGCCATAGTGCCCCAGAGCAGCTGCTGGCAACCCACTTGCAGCGAGTACACCTTGATTCCCGGGATAGCAAGGGGATGGAGCTCTCAGCTGCACAGGATGTGCATGAGTGGACTCTTTCTCCTTTACATAGCAGCCACACAGGGAACAAAAGTCCCTGCCCCCCTGAGGAGCAGCTCATCAATGAGCGAAAGACCAGATCAGTGGATGATAGTTCTTTGGGTTCAGGATGTCAGAGCCCAAGCAGTTCCACACAGGGAGAGGTATATGGGCACCCTTTGGACAAAGCTTTACTTGACCCAAATAGAGTAAGCAGAGGAGGAAGTCAATTGACTAAGCAGCATTCCTCTGCTTCTGGCTCCCTTGTTCAACAAATGATGGATTGTTCTTCAACCACTAAAGTAGCCGCCAGCAGAGAGACCATTGAAAAGGAGGACAATGAACCCAAGGAGTGTGGTCGAATAGGGGGTAAGCGGGGCCGCTCAATCCAAAACCGGCGGAAAAGTGAGCGCTTTGCGACCAATCTGCGTAATGAAATTCAGAGACGGAAGGCCCAGCTCCAGAAAAGCAAGAGTCCTTTGCTTTGTGACAGTAAAGAGCCAGTAGAAGAGACTGAGGAGCCACCAGAAAGTCCTCCACTTTCTGCCTCTAACTCATCCTTCCTATCGTCATATAAAAAATCACCTAGCCCTAGAGACAAGCCATTCAACAAGAACATGATACTCAGGACTATGTCTTCAGAGTGCCTCAGCCAAACACCTGAGAGCCCTGAATCAAGGATGAATTTGGAAGAGCGAATAAGCCCCTGCCAGAGACCTAGCCAGAACTCATTGTGTCTAAATACCTGTTGGAAAACATCTGAAATGTCTTTTTCTGACTCAGAAAAAATAAATGATCGTGGTAGAGTTCTTGAAAGTCATTGGAGATGGTCTTCAGAGCACAGTCTTCAGCCACAAGTTTCACTCACCATGGAAGGCCCTGCCAGCCCAGGTGACAAAGAACTGAAGGCTTCTACTGGCCAAACTGTAGAGGAAGCCATCCTCTTACCTTTTGCAGAGAGAAGGAAGTTTTTTGAAGAAAGTAGCAAATCCTTATCTACATCTCACTTGCCAGGGTTAACCACACATAGCAACAAGACTTTTGCCCAAAGACGAAAACATATGGACCAAAAATTCCAGCCAATGAGTTTGAGCTATAGGGAATTGAGGCAATTCCCCATAGACCAATCATATCATCCCAAAGACCAACCTTATCATACTGCAGAACAGTACCATTCCATGTCACCTCTTCAGTCAGAAACTGCCACTTACTCAGAATGTTTTGCCACAAAAGGACTAGAACAATCCATGTGTTGTAAGCCACTACACTGTGGTGATTTTGACTGCCACAGGACATGTTCTTACTCCTGCAGTGCCCAGGGAGCTGTAATCCATGATTCTTGCATTTATTGTTCTGGAGAAATCTGCCCTGCTTTGAGAAAGAGAAATGTGCCGAATTACTACAACTGCCGGTGCCACCTCCACCAATGTATCCAGTGTTCAGCTTGGTATCATAATGTCCAGCAAAGTACTCTGAAGGATGACAGCTTGGTACCTGGAAACACTTGGAAATCCAGGAAACCAACAGTGCAGGTGAGGACTTGGTTCTTGCAGTAGATAACCTTCGTTTTGTAAGGAGAATGAGAGGTAAACCTTTTATAAATAAAACACTTATAATTAACATTCAGCCACCAAAATTGTAGTTATGTAATATTTGGAATTAGAGTAAAATAATCTTTGCTTCACAAAATGGACAGAAATGGGATTTATATCCCATCTGTATAATTGATATCCAAGTGAGGCTAAACAAGTCAGTCAACAAAATTTATAGTTTAATGTTTTTAAAAGGAAAAGATAGATAATTTTTTTATTTTTATTAGTGAAACACCATGAGGTACAGTTGTATATTTACAAATTTTTGTGCTTGGGTTTCAGTTATACAATGATCAAATGCCCATCCCTCCACCAGTGCCCATTCTCCACCACCACTGATCCCAGTATCCCTCCCACCCCCCCCATCCAACCCTGCCTCTGTGGCAGGGCATTCCCCTTTGTTCTCTCTCTCCTTTTGGGTGCTGTGCTTTGCAAAAGAGGCATTGAGTGGATATATAATATTTACCTAAAAATTGGTCAGTACTAAGAATGTCAGTACTAAGAAATTTTACCTCATCTCTTTTTAGTCTAGTAAAATAATGTCTGCCTAATAGATAGGTTGTGAGGTGCAAATGAGACTGCTTGTATGTAGATCAGCCCAGGACTTGGTTGTACAGTAGTCCTTATTCCTCCTTATTTCCTGCTTAAAAATTATTTGGAGCTGCGAGGTCTGCAGATATACTCCTTAGGCTTTGTTTTCAGAGGTCTTACTTCTCAGGAATGTAAAGGATAAATCCCCTGCCACCCATCTATGTCAGATACCCAGGCTAAACTGGTTGGTGTTGCATCCTGGATATTGCCTATTTTCTAACATAAGCCACCATCGTATTCCAGGGTTCTCTTCTGAGACCTGCCTCTGGCCTTCCCAGTTCACAACCAAATTCATTCCCAATGACTTCCCTAGCACATCCATTATTGTTTATTTTTGTTTTGAACCACATCTGGTAGTTCTGGGGTTTGCTACTCCCAGTTTAGTACTCAGGAGTTGCTCCTGGCAGCACTGGATCATAAGGTGCTGGAAATCTAACTCAGGCCTTCAAACAAACAAGGAAAGTGCCCTACCACTGCAACATACCCCAAACCCAACACCACCTTTTGGCTGAAGCTCTCAAACAAGAAAAATTAATTCCCTACCCAAACTGATGTATAGGTAGACACTTCAAAATGACTTAATTATGAAATATAAAAATATATATATATTTTATATATTTATATATAAATAATATATACGCATATATATATATGTGTTTTGATTTTGGGGTCATACCTGGCAGTGCTCAGGGCTTATTCCTGGTTCTTTGTTCAGGGATTACTCCTGGCAGGTAAGGGGAACCATATGGCATGCCGGACATCAAACCCAGGTCGGCTATGTGTAAGTACCTTACCTGCTGTACTTTCTCTATGATCCGATATTTTTTTTTTATTTTAATGACTCATCAGAAGATATAGTTACAGACTTTCATGATGAATTTTTGTGTTTCAGTCAAACAATATTCTAATACCCATCCCTCCACCAGTGTTCATTCTCTACCCCCAATGTTCCCAGTATCCCTCCACCCACCACGACCACTTCACAACTCCTGACTCTGTGGCAGGCACAATCCCTCTTACTTTCTCTGTACTTTTGGGTGTTATGGGCTGCAATAAAGGTAACAAGCAGCCATCATGTTTGATCCATAGTCTACTTTCAACATGCATCTACTATCCTGAGCGATCCCTCCAACCATCATTTATTTATTGCTCCTCTCTCCATCCCAGCTACCTTTCCCCCCCAGTGCATGAAATCGCTATCAAGCTATGGGGCAGTCCTCATGACCCTTATTTTAACTGCGTTAGTCTCCTATTATGGTACTTTGTATTCCACAAATGAGTGCAGTCCTTTTATGTCTGTCCCTCTCTTTCTGACTCATTTCACTTAGCATGATACTCTCCATGTTGATCCACTTATATGCAAATTTCATGACTGCATTTTTCTAAAAAATGTATTCCATAATAGAGTATTCCATAGCATAGTATTCCATTGTGCATCTATACAAAAGTTTCTTTAACCAGTCCTCTGTTCTTGGGCATTCGGTTTTTTTCCAGATTCTAGCCATTATAAATAGCGCTGCAAGAAACATACAAGTGCATATGTCATTTCTACTGTATGTTTTTGCATCTCTGAGATATATTCCCAAAAGTGATATTGCTGGGTTAAATGAAAGCTTGATTTCTAGTGTTTTGAGAAAGTCCATATTGTTTTCCATAAAGGCTGGACCAGTCGGTATTCCCACCAGCATTGAGGGAGAGTCCCTTTCTCCCCGACATCCACGCCAACAACAGTTGTTTTTGTTCTACTGGATGTTTGCCAGTCTCTGTGGTGTGAGATCATATCTTATAATTATTTTGATCTGCATCTCCCTCATGATGAAGAACAATTTTTCATATGTTGTTTGGCCATTTGGATTTCTTTTTGAGAAAATTTCTGTTCATTTTTCATTGCCCCATTTTCTGATGTGACTGAATGTTTTCTTCTTGCAGAGTTCAACCAGTGTGTTGTATATTCATGATATTAAACACTTACTGGAGGGGTATTGGGTGAATATTCTTTCCCATTCTGTAGACTCTCTTTGTATTCTGTTCACTGTTTCTTTTGAGGTAAAGAAACTTCTTAGTTTAAGATAATCCCATTTGTTTATCTCTGTTTCCACTTGGTTGGCCAATGGCATTTAGTCCTTAAAGATACCTTTAGCTTCAATGTCATAGAGGGTTTTGCCAACCTTTTCTTCAATGTACCTTATAGATTCTGGTCTGATGTTGAGGTCTTTAATCCAATTTGATCTGACTTTTGTGAATGATGTTAGTTAGAGGTCTGAGCCCATTTTTTGCATGTATCTGTCCAGTTTTCCCAGCACCATTTGTTAAAGAGACTTTCCTTGCTACACTTCGCATCTGTTGCTCCCTTATCAAAGGTTATATGCTCATATATTGGAGGGTATGTGTAAGGATGTTCAACCCTATTCCATGGGTCTGCGGACCTGCTTTTGTTCCAACACCATGCCGTTTTAATTATCACTGCTTTGTTGTACAGTTTGAAGTTGGGGAAGGTGATGCCCTCCATATTTTTTTTGCCCGAGAATTGCTTTAACTATTTGTGTGTGATTGTTGTTCCATATAAATTTCAGGAGTGTTTAATAAATTTCTTTGAAGAATGTCATGGGTACCTGATAGGAATCACATTGAATCTATCTAATGCTTTGGGGAGTATTTCCATTTTGACAATATTAATTCTCCCAATCCATGAACAGTGGATATTTTTCCATTTCTTTGTGTCCTCTTTTATTTCCTGAAGTAGTATTTTGTAGTTTTCTTTGTACACCTCCTTTACCTCCTTAGTTAAGCTGATTTTCATATCACTTTCTTCTCTCTTGTTATTTACAATGAAAAGCCATTGACTTTTGGTATATATTTTATAGCCAGTGACTTTACTAGAGAAGTTTAATGTTTCTAGGAGTTTCTTTGTAGAGGCTTTAGGATTCTCTAAATATAGTATCATGTTATCTGCAAAATGTGAGAGTTTGATTTCTTTCTTTCTTATTTGGATGCCCTTAATGTCTTTTTCTTGTCTGTTATGACAAGTACTTCGAGTACAATATTGAATCGTAGTGGTGAGAGTGGGCATCCTTGTCTTGTCCCTAATCTAAGAGGGAAGGCTCTTAGTTTTGTCCCATTGAGTATAATGTTCCATAGTCTTGTGTTAGATGGCTTTGACTATTTTGAGAAAAGTTCCTTCAGTTCCCATTTTGGTGAGAGTTTTCATCATAGATGGGTGCTTGATCTTGTCAAATACTTTCTCTGCATCTATTGATATGATCATATGTTTTTTCTTTTCTTTTATTGATATGATGGATTGTGTTGCTTAACTTGCAAATGTTAAACCATTCTTGCATCCCTGGCATGAATCTCACTTGGTTGTGGTTTATAACTTTTTTAATGAATTGCTGGGTTATATTTGCTAATATTTGTTGAGAAGTTATGCATCTGTATTCATTAGGGATATTTGCCTGTAATTTACTTTTATAGTGGTGTCTCTGTTTGCTTTTGGTATTAGGGTGATATGTGCTCATAGAAACTATTTAGGAGAGTTTCTGTTTCTTCAATTTCCAGGAAAAGCTTGAAAAGGACTGGCAGTATGTCCTCTTCAAATGTTTGGAAGAATTCAGCAGTGAATCAATCTGGACCTGGGCTTTTGTTTTGGGGACGATTTTTAATTACTGTTTTTATTTTCTTGATGGTGGTAGGTCTATTGAGTTATTCCAGATCTTCTTGGCTCATCATTGGGAGGTTATAGAAATCCAGAAAAGTATCCATTTTCTAGGTTCTCTTGTTTCGTGGCGTATAGACTTTCAATGTAATCTCTGATGATCTTTTGAATATCTTTGGTTTCTATTGTGATGCCCCCCTTTTCATTTCTGATTAGGTTTATTAGGGTTTTCTCCCTCTCTTTGTGTGTCTTATCAATCGTGTGTATTTTCTCAAAGAACCATCTCTTGGTTTCATTGATCTTTTGGATAGTTTTTCAGGTTTCCATGTTGTTAATTTCTGCTCTAATTTTTATTATTTTTCTCCTGCCTTGTTTGAGCTCCTTTAGTTGGAATTTTCTAAGATCTTGAGCTGTGGAGTCATGTTATTTATGTGGGCCCTCTCTTTCTTCCTGAGAAATCCTTGTAGAGCTATAAATTTCCTCTCAACACTGCTTTAACTGTATCCCACAAGTTCTGGTAGCTTGTGTCTTCATTCTCATTTGCTTCTAGGTATATTTTTATTTGTTCCTTGATTTCCTCTCTGACTTACTCATTGTTCAACATTGGGTTATTTAATTTCCAGGTGTTTCATTTGGTTTTCTGTTCCTGTGTGTGATTAACTTCTATATTCAGTGCATCGTGGTCTGAAAAAAGAAT